CCAGTTTAATTATCAGGTGTTTTGTTGGTGAAACCGCTGTAAAGCATGTTGAAGAAGTGTTAGAAGATGAATTCAAGATTTTAAAAATCTGAAAAAATCTTCAAGTGTGCCTAATTTTTTGAAAAATTACTTGCCATGAGGATTTCATCAGTATAGAAGATTCACTTTGAATTTTGTGAATTTGAGCTACCAACTTGAACCACTTGAAAGCAACCTATATAGAACCTATACAAAACGTGATAGTGTGCGACCTCTGTCAAAACAATAAAAAACAATGATAAAAGATACGCACGTGAGTTAGTTTTAAGCAAAGGCTCTGATTGTGTCGCTCCCTCACACGTTGGTTGTGGCGCTAGCCTGCAACGCCTACCACTTGAAGCCCCTCAACGGCCCCACGGAAATCTGCTTTCCTGCCGAATGGCCGCGACGCAAACCTCGTGGCCGAGACCAGATCCAACAACACTCACGCGACCAGTTCTCGAGCTCAGCAATCTTGGAATAGGCCCCCATCCGGACTGCATCTTCGATTCCTGGTTACCCGCCATCTGCAGAGTGCCACTCTCATAAGTCTTATCCTGGAGACGCAAAGGCTGGTGATAACCGGATGGGTTTTACTAGGCCACTGTGAACAAGGTTGGTTATGCAATTTAGAATGATTAGGTTGTAAATTGGTGCGCTGAATAAATGATCAGGTTGTGAACTGTTAATATTGTGCGCTAAGGTGGATGGAACTTAACACACTGAGTTGATTGCGGTTTGCTGGGCTATTGCCCAGATTGCAGTCGGAGCAGATGCTTTGAAGTCATGGATTTCATTTGTAAGGTTGTCAGAGCTTGGGTGGTTGTACAGTCGTCCTGTGTGATTGGAGTGCTGATTTTTAGGTCACTGTTGGTGTAATTGAAGTGGCTTTGATTTACGGGGAGGAACTGTAGTGAACAGTGTGGGTTCATTGTTCTCCCCGGTGTAGGTGAGGACTCGGCTGAATTTTCTCAATAATTCCCTCGGATATCCTTGAATCTGCTCTTCTCCGATGCAAGAACATTCTCAACATCAAAACTGAATCTCCGTACATTTGATGCATGACAATGTTTTGTACAAATGTAATGGATCAATCACGTGGAGGGGGGAGCAAGTGCTTGAATTCAGTTGAATTACCTGTGGAAATTACTTTGCTTAACTCCTTACGAGAGAAAATGTCTTGAAGAACTTCAAAATCATTGTCAAATAGGTGCATATACCTTGCAACAACTTACTATCCACTGCATAAAACGCCTCTCCGAACTGAAACTTCAGTTGTAATCATCGACGTCGATTCAGAGCTATGATTTGATTCGGCTGTAACTGCAGCGATCATTCAGCGAGGTAGTGACTGGGGAGGGTCGTGTAGTGTTGTACTGAGACGTCCAAATTTGATAGAGGATCTCACGCACAAGCAACAACCGAAACCAATCGAAGACGGGGATGATGTGCATGCGCAGTCGGTCGAAGACGTCAGCAATGCGTTATTAAGAAATCCCAAATTGGGGTTGTCAAATGGGAGTGCTGCAGAACTTCTCGAGCAGTATGGTCGCAACGAGCTGAAGTATCCAGCCGGGGTTAACCCATGGAAGATACTGTTGCGGCATGCGGTGATTGGCTTGACCGCCGTTCTCGTTATCGCCATGACTATGTCCTTTGCGAGGCAGGAGATTACGCCAGAGCGGGGGTGCACACTCGTGATTGTGATTGCGTTCAATACCATCGATGGCTTCGCTCAAGAGTACTGCGCCGAGAAGAACATGGATGCATTGCGGAAGATGGCGTCTCCGTCGGCCAAAGTGATTCGAGACGGACGTCAGCTCCAAATCCCTTGTGAGGAGATGGTGTCTAGGGACTTGTTGACATTCGAGGTTGAGGATATCGTTACCGCCAATTGTCGGCTGATTGAGGTTTTGAATTTGGAGATAGACAAGGCATTAAGAACGGAGGAGGCTGGACCATCGATGAAGGCCGTGGAACTGATCAAGGGAAAGGATGTTTCTATTAGGGACCGCACGAACATGGTCTACTCACGCAATACAGTGGTGAAAGGTAGAAGAGAGGCGATTGTGGTGTCCACAGGGATGTCGACCGAGATCGGCAAAATCTCGAAGGCGATTAGCAAGTCTAAGACGCAATCTACTACAGTGTAGAAGAAACTTAACCTGATGGCATATGACCTGCTTGGATTCGCGTTTTTACTCGCGTTCATTGTATTTGTTGTGAACAAGTTTAGTTTTAGCACAGATGTTGTGCTGTACGGGATTGCGATTTCAATTGCTATTATTCCCGAGGGACTTATTGCGGTCATTACGATTGTTCAAGCATTAGGAGTACGGTGAATGGCCAAGCAGAATGCATTGGACCGGAAGCTAGTAGCGCTGGAGTCGTTGCAAGCAGTGTCCAATGTCAGTTCGGACAATACGAGTACTTTGACGGAGGGGAAGATGGTTATGACGAACATCTGGCTTCCGAATCATGAATCCCAATACATTGTCACAAGGCAGGGGTATGAGACCGTTTGCGACTTGTCCACTGTACATGGCGGTGTACAAAGCCCGAGAAGCGGCGCTGGATGCAATGAATTTTTGAACTCTGGTGGAGTGCTGCGCTCTATGCAACACGGCCAGTATCGTTGAGGCGTCGGAGGGGAAATTATGGGGTGACCCCACCGAGATCAATCTGCAAGTGTTTGCACACAATATGCAAATGGGGAAGCCCATGCTGAGTATACTCAGGAAGCCAGTTCAGGAATTCCCTATCAGCTCCGACACGAAGCGGATTAGCATGGTGTGCCACGACGAGTCAGAAAATATGTTAGAAGTTTTCACCAAGGGATCTGAAGTTGACCTCTCAATTTGCGACGCTGAGATGGATCGGACCGGAAACGTGCGAAGCATTGTTGGGGATGAGGGGTTCCTTGAGCTCGTCGAAGTTCAGCAAGAGGAGATGGCAAAACAAGGGTTGCTATTTTTAATGCTAGCCTACCGACTAGTCTCGGAGACATGCTAAGGCAAGCCGGACTCCAAGTGGGAACGAACTCAAGTGGGGGAGAGTTTCATATTCCTCGGTTTGGTAGGAACAAGAGACACTCCCCGCAAAGAGACTAAGCCTTTTATACGCAAGTGCCATCGCGCCGGTATCACGGTGCACATGCTGACTGGAGATCACATAGCCACGGGTTTGACGATTGCCAAGGAAGTGGGCATCCTGGAACCCCTGGGATGGTTCCAAGCGAGCGAAGAACAACGCCATCGTTCACTTGTCGACCTCGGTCATGACAGCAACGGAATTCGACCAGCTGTCGGAAGAGCAGGTGGAAAAATTGGTTGAGCTCCTCATTGTGATTGCACAATGTCCTCTTCACCAAGGAACTTATCACGGACATCGTTGTCTTCAGCTGGTTCCTGGGCATCCTCTCCCTGACGTCCTGGGTGCTTGTCATCTACCCCTTCGGTAACTCCGACCTCGCCAGCCTCTGCAATACAACTTCAAATCTCCCGACATGCTCCACAACCTTCCGCGCCAGGTCCACTGTCCAATTATCCCTCACTTGGATGATCCTCCTCCACGCTTACAACTGTCGCCACCTTCGCGCGAGCTTGTTCACCACTGAGAGGGTGGCCGTTCTCGCCTCTTCGACAACAAAGTCCTGGTGGCCAGTGTATTCATCGGGGCTCTCCTGCCAATATCCACGGTCTACATCTCAACTCTAAACACGGAGATCTTCAGGCAGGAAAAAAATCACCTGGGAGTAGGCCATCGTGTTCGTTTGTGTAATCATCTTCATGCTCTTTACAGAGAGTTACAAGCTGCTCAAACGGCGCTTCATCAAGTCTCCCTACAATATGTAGCTAGACACCTGAACCCCCAATTGTTGAATGGTCAACCATCACATCGTACTCACTCACCTTCAGTTAGATGAACTATCGTTTCAGTGGCCACTAGAACAACACCTAAACCTAATCAGTAGGTCTCATCAGCAGATTGTGGTGTAGTTGAAATTCAACCCTCGGATCAAACTACTTGTGCTAATGTACTCAAATAGTGGGCTGTTGTGCAAAGCATAGCAGCAATTCAATCAGTCTGTTGTACGAGAATAGCTCACCTATGGTACAAAATCGTGGAATATTCATCATAATTTCTTTTCTACCGTGTCCTCAAATGTGTGGATTGATCTGTCGTCCACATCGGCGTTCTGTCAAAATGCCGAAATTATGATGAATTGATTTGGGAGTGTGAAATTATGATCATTGAAAGACTGCGCCGCACATTGTGTATGCACAGCATTCACTTTCGGAGGCGCAATATGGTTGCTAGTAATAAGTACTAAGTGGTTATATTTATTGTTACAAATTACTTATAATTGCTTTTATACATCCTATTTTTTTCTTTCTCTATATTTTTTTTAATTTAAACATAAGACAATCTTTTGTGTAACCTTGTCAATATTATCACTATTTTAGTGTTATTTTCGTTCTTAAGAATTATGATACGGTATTGTGCTTTAACAAGTGTATATATAGATATATATATATAAATAAATAAATTTGAAACATTAAACCTCAAAAGAAAGGCTTGTTAAATTTCAAAGACATCAAGATAAGAACAATTAAATATCATCACTTAGTAGAATTTATCTATATAGAATCTTCTGTCTATTAATTTAACACATTAGCTTTATTATTGTATTTGAGGTTGATCTCTGCATCATTTTAAAATTTGAATCTTTTATTTTTCCTTTCTTTCTTGAATTTATTAGTATCTCCTAACCTAGATCAGCTTCATGTGAAATCTTCATTTTTGTTTCTCAACATGTGAATACCTTTTGCAGACACATTTTTTATTTGATACAAAAGTTATAATTTTATAATATATTCTGCTAATTCACATCCATTAGTCACCGACTTTTTATTCCTTGATTTTTGCACATATTAACAAAATCAACCATACACCATAGATGATTCCTGATTCCAAAGATCAATGCAAAATATGTTTTGTCATTTGAATGAACAAGAAAATCTTACAAGACGACCGTACTTCTTAGAGATCAATCTCACTGGGTCATCATTATAAATGCCCAGGTTAAGCAAGAGCATCACAGATTGGTGCGCTCAATGGGGAAATATCTGCATCTTGCTTCCCACCACTTACATTTGGTGAACTGGACCGAGTGCAACAAAAAAGTTGATATATCCTAGTAAACTCTTAACTCTAGTTGAAGATTTCAACGAGATTTAGCTACTGTAACACTTCAATTCAAGGATTTACAGTAGCTAAATCACATTTACCTCAAACTTGTAAGCTGTTGCATTAACCAAAGAAAATTGTATGTGGTTGCTTAAGCAAGAGCTCTACCCTTGATACAGATTTAATAATGTGGAGCCTTCTCTCCGGATCATAACACGCACGGTCCTGATAGTCTGAGATATGCACATACAATTACAAGAACACAGTTTGGTAAATACGGTAGTTATGTTGCCTACAACAAGGTAACCATGGCAACATCTCAGGAATAATATTCTTCCCAATTTTGTCTATACACAAATCAAATTAAAATGAATAAACGCTAGGCGCTGAATAACACATGGCTTCACTGGTTCCCATGAAATTATTGCATCTGCTTGTGCAACTTTAAACCAGCAATGCTGATTATCTCTCCTGGTCCCTTTATGTGAAATTATTTTTTTGTGTGAGATAGAATATGAATGAAGGTGCACATCATAGACTATTTGAGCTCAAGAGATATTAGACTTTTCCTGTGTGGAAAAAGTAGTTCACAGGGAACTTAACTAAGAACTGGTTAATAGAGCTTAGTGATCCAGCAGAGGTTACACAAACTCCACAAAATACCATGAAAAGACACAAACTTTTTAAAAATCATTTTTACATACTTTTTTTTATTAGCATTCGATTACTGCTATTAGGTCTGAAAATAAAAATAAAACTAAATAAAATTCCTTATTGTTGGTAAACGTGAAGGAGATCATATCCAGCTGTCAAGTAGGACAACCATCACTTGAGAGAGGTCGCAAATTTGACCTTCACAAGAAGTTGGAACAAGCTGTAAATTATATCACAGGCCCCTCAAGCGTAGCACCCACAATATTGTTAATTCGAGGATAAGAAACTTTTTCGTCAAGCTGATTTTGCTCCAACATCAACATCTTCAGAATACTTGGTAAGCTTGGACCTGCATGCATCAGGTCATGAACTAAATCGATAAGTTGTGTATACATTTAACCTTTCCTTTATAGCTGAATACTTTCTATATTATAGTCGTGATAGTACCACCTAAACTTCATCAAGCCAACAAAGATCACAAACGCGTGTTAAATCAGAGAATCGAAACATCTCATGAAAGTTACATTTTACACTCTAGCGAGTTACCAATTCATGTCAAAACCTAAGCTGACAGAAATGAAACCATAGTAGTAATAAACTCAATAGAAGGTCTCACATTTCTCATCAGAAAGGCTTTTGAGAACAGCAGCGTCTAATTCATTAGCTGTTTTCCGACGCTGTTTATCGTTCAGGAGCTCTTTCACCTCCTCCACTGAGATTTTAGAAGCGTTTTCAAAAGCCATGAGAGCCATAGTGCGTTCCAGCTCCTCCAAAAGCGCAGGCTGTTAGCAGAGCGTTCGCAACTCAATTAGAAAACTTACCTTCCAAAAAATTCAGAAGAATTGCTTCGGAATTTAACATACATTATAATGAGGTTTCTGCAGGACTACTGGATGTTTAAAATGAAGTAGAAGAAAAGAAAAGAATTCAAAAATATTCAAGAGGAAACTTTGAATGACAAGACACCAGAAGTCGAAAAACACGTATGTCACATGGCATATAGATTCAAAACAAACATTGCGTAGAACCAGAGAATGAGCGACTTTCCATATTTAGAAGGAAGGAAATCCAATAATTAAGAATAACCAGCCAAATGCCGAAGCAAACTAAATTGTGAGCACAACTTACTGTCTCCATAATTTGTAACAAAAACAAAGAATTGGCATACATTATCTTTGCCACTTGGAGCCAGCTTTTCTTGAGCAAACTCTAGAGCTTCTTCGACTTTACCAGCACGAATCAACTCAATAAGCCCTAGCTGCTGCAAGTGAAAATATAGTTGTGGATTTGTATCCAGAATCTGTCATTTTCCAACCAAAAATATTACAGGCGAGTAAAAATAAAATTGAATGCACTTCGGGCTTCACAAGGAAGGTCAATTGTGATGTTCGGTATTGTAGTAACGCTTTTTAGGTAATTTGACAATGCACAAGCATTAAGAAGAGCTTCTATCACCACTTTCACGTTCCAAATGAAAACTCTCACATTGCTTACAAACTTCTTCGCATGCATAAATTAGCTTCGACGATATATTAGTAAGAATACTGAAGAGTTCCACTTCGACTCAACGAATTGTTAAGCTGATCACTGGAAAATTGAGGTCGGAAAGTTACAAACTGGCCTCTGGATTTAAGTGATTGACTTTCTCAATAGCATCCTCCACATGTCCACATTCTACAGCGTTTCGAAGATCTAGGCGATCAAAGATGGTACCAATGTCTACATCAGCTATTTTCTGCTGAGGACATAGACAACGCATTACATGTAGTGTTGAAGCATCGCAATTCCACAAAATAATGATACACATTCGCAACTAGTGAGAGAAACACTAAACAGTAGACGATTTGACAAGGGCCATACCATGACCGACCAATTCTGTGATTAAGGAGGCAATAACAATTTTGCAAGAATTGCAGAGGATACGTTGAGTCCCAGACTCATGCAGGAATTTTTTGACTGCGTCGACATATCCTTCAGTGACGAGAAAATTCATCACCAGCCTGTTCATATCTTCTTTCCAAATTTTGACCTCGCGCAGGTTCTTCTCCCATTCTTCCTTCGTTACGACCTTCTTAGAGGATGACTATATTACGTCAACATGAATCACGCCCATCCAAATTCCGTTATTAGAAGTGGCGATCCAATAAAATATTTCCCACTAGATAAACTCAAAGCAAAAATGTAGGAACATTATTCAATTAAAATACTCGTTATCTGTGACAAATAAATGTTTCCAGTGAACAAAACCATGTAATACAAGGATGTATCCCGTCCAGAGAGTCTCCAGGGAAAGAAGCTAGAATGAAAAGACTTCATACCTCGCCTCTTCTCATGTCTTGAAGAAATTGCGCGGAAAACGTTTTCTCCTCTTGCAGGCACTATCTACAACCACAATTTCTCTGGCTTGAAGAGAAAGCGGAACCGAACAGGCGAAAAATGCGGCTTAGACCATCCCATCCGTGACAAGTGTCTCAGACTAGAATTCGCAGTTAAAAGGAAAGTCAACAATCTCGCATGCACGAAAGAGGAATATCTTGGAACTGACGCAATGGACGATTGCCTCTGATGCAACAGAACAGTCAGGTCACATGAACATGGAGCTACTCACAGCAGCGAAGCGCATTGGACTGTAAGATCATTGCAGAAACAGAAGATTGTGAACATGCGATGTACTTAGGTCACAAGTAATGGCGATGGTTACAAAGCAGAAAAATTAGTCATCAAACATTCACACAAAATGCCTCCACATCCAAGACGAGAGTCTCACGTTCGGGAGAAGGGCTAGCAACAGATCAATGACGGCCTCCAAAGTCAGCGTCCCCTTTACAGTGAATAAAGACACGATGCTACAAGGTGGACAACGTACAGCCACTGTTCCTCATCAACTGAGAAGGTCAGCTCGTCTTGTGTGATTTCCTACCTGCAGCACGCCTCATTACCTGCCCGAAAAACACCATTATTTTCCTGCCTCTCCTATCATGCTACTCATTGCATTGTTCTTAGAAGTTCAACGATTCAAAAAGACGTGCATGAATGATGAGACCCGACAGACTAGACACTGCGTCGTGCAGGACCTAGATTTCACCCAATGGAGCGAAACATACCGCAACGGAATCAGAATTGCACATAGTGGAAGCCGAGGAGACTGTAAGAAGCACGCAGAGTAGGAGAAACAACGCACCATGGGGGCCGCCAATTGGAAATGCGAGCGAAGACACATGAAGTCGAAAAACAAAGCTCTATGGTTTCCTGGTGAAAGATGCACGGCACAGAAACGCAAGCACGCTTCATCGCGGGCGAGGCAATTTCCGGGCAGGGCTGGGTTCAGTTGGCTCGCGGGTGACAGGTTTTACACGGAACTGGTCATGTGAGTGGGAACCTTCTCAAGTCCCTCTTGGCGACGGTCTTGTCCAGTGGGGGCAAGGCCTATCCTTCAAAATTATATCATAAATTGCTGAAAATCAATTTCATCACATTGAATTTTTATGATGTCTCATATGTTTGCACTGAAAAATAATACAACTGATGTTTAATTTCTAATTAATTACAACTCAATGTGCTTTAATATTCTTATTTTATCTTGTTTTTTGCTTAAGTATCGAAGATGTGTTTACTGTGTTTTTATTTATTTGATTCGAATCTGAATATTTTTCTGAATTATTTGAAAAAATATTTTCTAGCACCCAAATACTTACTCAAGAAAGATTATTTGTGTGTCACATAAATGCTACTTATTTTATTTTTTATGATTTTATTATTTTGATTATTATTTTTATTATTTGAAATTATGAGTTTTTAATATTGAAACGTAATTCAGATACTTATGATAGAGTCAAGTAAAAACAATTTAAAAAAAAATACCAAAATCAGACATATAATAATTAAATTTTTGTTAAATCATTTAGCACTTTATATTAAGACCAATTATATTTTTTAAAGAATAAAACATGACTTAGGAAAAAAAACTCTGTTTCTAAATAATCTCGCTAATTATCTTAATATATTTTTTATATTTAAATCAAAATACTAAGATAATTAAGAAGATCATTTAGAAACAGATTTTTTATAATAAAAATTGCATTACTTGATTAAATAAAAATATGATATGTTTTATACAGCCAGGCACTGTGATTTCAAACTATATTTTTGATGTTACATTTATATATAATTTTTTTTTGAAGTTAACTATGTTTTAAGTGTATTATATATTTAACATATATTAAAAATATGTATAAATTATATTTTTGAATTAATAAATTTAAAAAATCACAAACATCTATATAATAATAATTACTATAAACTATGATGTTTAAACTTAAATTTTTGAAATGCAATGTTGATCATTTAATTTTAAATGTTATTCAACCAAATGGGCTTTTTTTTTTTGTTTTAACAAAGTTCTTTCTTGAAATTTTTAAAAATTAAATCTAATGATTTGAGGCTATATATTTGGATTCTTTTTTAAATAATAAATTTAGACATCTTTTATAGTTTTATTTAAATCTATCTATCTATATATATATATATATATATATATATACATTCAAATTATGAATTAGTTTTTTTAGAAAAACTTATGTATAGATTACTAAGCTTATTATATGTACACATATCTTATTGGAAAGATAATTTATAAAAGCTTTCTAACATGATTTAGCATATCTTATATGAATACATATTGTGTAGATATCTTGTTAGCAAGCTTTTTAAAATCTTTTTAGATTTTACAAATGTTTATAAGTGATTGATAGCTTTAGAACTTGACCAACAAATTAACCACATGTTGCACATTTAGACACTTATATTACAAGTTGGCCATATGGCACACATATTAGAAACTTTTTTTACAAATTAGTCATGTATCTTACAAGTTGGATACCTACTTTTTAGCCTTTTGGGCATTGCTACATAGTACTTTAATAGATAGTATATATGGAGGTAAGAGTGAGGCCTATTTCACTCTTCTTAATGTCTTTCTTGTACTCTATTTTGTTTTAAGACTTCCTAGTTCTTTTATATTTAACAAAAGTAATTCTAATTTAAATTATTAATCTATCTTTGTATTAATATAATAATACATTATTAATTTTAGAATTTTTTTGTGCTTCATATCTTTAATAATTTTAAAAAATATCAATTTATTATTTTTTCATTTATTTTGGAAGTGAATAAATTATCTTACTTCTTATTATTGTATTTTAAAGGTTGTAGATTATCAACCTTAAAATTAATATTTCTTATTTTTTAACATTGATTTTTTTTTTCTTTTTTTTTTTTTAAAAAAGAAAAAGAGTATGCTATTTGTCTTTGTAAAATTTGATATCTAAAATTATAAATACTCTTATTCTAATTTGACTTGAAGATTTATTAAATTTTTATATTATAGAAATGAAAGAAAAAAAATTATCAATGCTAAACTTAATAAAAGTGAAAATAGATTTGTAACTATTATAGATCTTCACAAGATTATTAATATTTTTATAGCAATAATTTCACATAGTAGCAATATCAACTATAGAAATACTATTCCTACGTCTATAAAAGAAGTCAACAATGAGTTCTAATATCTATACTAAGAAGTCATATAGTTAAAAAAAATAAATAGACCAATCTTACAAATAAATCCAAAAATTCTTGTTATTATAAGTTTAAAGGAAACAAATTTTAATATGCCTAAAAAGTATGATAGAACAAGATCAAAAGTTGAAAATTTCTACAATAAGTCATTGGAAGAAATGGCTCAAAATTTCGTTGGATATCAGCCATCTTCCATCTTTAATTTCATTATAAATCTTATACCTTGAATATGTCTCTTTTGAATCAGTACCTTTTTTTCAAAAATATTATGAATATTAAAAATTATTCAACTATTAGTACATGAAAGGATTTTTTCAATCTAACTAGTATATTTCTGAAAATATAAGAAACCTTTACTAACCGTCAAAACCAAAATTTTGACACCTTAACTCACTTAAACTTCAATTACTTTTAATTTGGTTTTTTAATTGAGCTCAAATTATCAACCTACATTCAATACAACTATATCCACAAACTTACAAAATTTAAGTCATAGATTTGCTATAAAACTCCTACAATTCTCCAAAATATAAGACTTCTATTATTCAACACAAAATAAAGTCACCTAAATCAATCCAAACTTTGCAAAGGTATTATAAAGTCAATATATACTAAAATCCTTCTAAATTAATGCTCACAAAAATCCTATTAAGTTTGCATTCAAAATCTAGGCTTTGATTAATAAAAAAGTGTTCCATCTGCCATAGCATATGGTTTTGTATCTCAAAGTTTGCTTTTAATCCTATTCTTTGTTCCTATATTATAGTTATTTTCTTTTAAATAATATGAATTATCACGAAGTTGGGTAGTAATACATAAAACTTGTAGCACATACTTTCTTTTTCAAGTCAAAATCCTATAATTGGCATCAATATATAGCTTCAAAATCTCTACCTATAAATAAGGTGTTGAACACAATAAGATTTGAAGAGGCATAAATATACTTCACTTCTTCTTATACATCCTACCATTTACTATAGTGCAATCATTGAAGCCAATACTTGTCAAGTTGTTATACATCCCAACTTTATACATGCTATGTCACTATCTCTACAAGTTTAACATGAAATCACTTCTTATACTACTAAGAAGCACAGTAGTTGATTCAATTCTATTAAATCTAATAAAAAAGAGAAAAATTAATAGGTAAAAGAAGGACATATTATGTTCATTTATGACCAAAATCTAATAATTCCATAAAATCTATAACATCAAGTTTATAAATCTTAATATTTATATTCTTATTATTTTCCAAAATTTATGATTTTTTGAGGATTTTCAACAATGTCTTATAAAGAGCATAGAACTTCAACTCAACTCCCCCTTCCAATATAATTATTACTCTAGTTTCTAAATTGGTTTGCTTATATTAATTCTTAAATCTAAATTTAATTTACTTATTAAATTTTCTTATCTTCTTATCTACTTTGACCTCTATGCTATGAGAAGTCGTGTTGTGAAGCATCAAACTTGGTTGTTTAATAACAATTGAATCACACAACATGATTATTTTTTAATCTTATTATTTTCTATATGGAAAGATTTGAGTTTAACAAATAATTTGGTCTTGATTGGAGTAAGGTTCTATATCCACAAAATGCCACTAAGTTTTGCTACATTAATACTATCACAAGTCACCATCCAATGATGGAATTAGAGTTCTTAGGTCTTCATTTCTTTGTACATCTAATCCTACCTTTTTTTTACTCCTTAGTGTCTAAATATTCTTTTAATTTAAGATTGTCTTTATTTAATAGTAACACTTGATATTATTTTGACTTGATGTGCATCTCGACATTTGTAGAGCAAGAAGTTGCATAAATAATCTTCATTATTTTTTCCATCAATGTCTTGATGGCTTCTTGTATTTTTTTTATTTGGCCTATAAAGTTGATACTTATTTTGATAATGTGATTTGCCTTTATTTTACTATTTTATTCCAAAGCTTTGAGTTAACAAGTAGCTCAAAGTTGACAATGCAAAATTTCTTTAGTTCTTCAACTTGGATTACTCATTGAAATATAAAATATTGTTTGCATTAGCTTCCTAATCAACTTTCTATACTTCTTCTTTGACTTACCATATTTCTTTTTTAGCTTGCATATTCTCTTCTTTTCTTACTTAAATCTCTTAATTGATCTTTTAAAGATCATCTTAGATTTTCTTCAATGTTTTGGAAAATATCTATACAAATTCTTATTCTTTATATTTATATAAGAAGCAAGTAAGGTTTGGAGCCCTTATCAAAGTTCTAGCAATAAATATATCACAAGATTGGTTTGTTATTGCTTCAATAGAAAATCACAAGACTCCAAAAAAATACTTGGTTGTTTAAACTTACTTGGATCAAAGAATGATTTGTTGAGGGTGGTGGTAGATTAGATGAATTACATCATGAATACAAAGATTTGATGATATCATTTATATGGCTGAGTTTGTTTCTTGCTTGAGGTCACAATAAGTTTAATTAGATAGTTTGGATGAATAGTAGCTTGATTTTAATAAGGATTTGTACCTTGGCTTGAGTTATAGAGTCTTATGCTTTATTGATTTATTCAACAGTTGCTGAATTTAGTTGTATACTAGGTGTGTTTTTGGATTTTTTATTTTTGATTTGATTTTTGCTAATTTTGATTTTTGATTATTAATTTTTTTTTCATACATCTATTTTGATTGTTATGGATTT